CGAATATATTGGAATGTTGGAAGACATTGCTTTATTACAATGCTGTATACTTGAGAAGCCCGTTTTTTTTTCTGAAAAACATTTTGTACCTCCGACATCCTAAGTTTGGTAAATTTATTAACTTACCTAAATATTAGAATTGGCAGTTTTTTCTATTGAATTTAAACTATTATGAATTGAAATTTTTGTTTGTGATCTGCTTATATGCGTGTTTTCTTTGTTTGTAGAAGTAGCCAACTAGAAACGTAGAGTTTTGAGCACGGAGCAGGCCGGGGTTGAACTTGTGTTTTATTAACTAACGATGCATGGAAAAATTTAATCTTGACTTTTACTACAAGACAAGGTCATTCAAAAACAGCTCTGATGAGAGTTCTTTGTTAGGGGTGACTCAGCTTTCAGTTGAGTGTCCATAAAAGGATATGATTTCCCTATAGTCTGTGCCGCAGCTGGCTGCTCATCTTCACATCGTGTCACAGTCATCAACCCATAAATACCAAAAATAAATCGCCTAAAGCTGAAGTGGTATCTGTAGTCGTCTATGCAGTAACAGATGGTGTACTCCTTCAAGAGTGATCTCGTTTCAATTCGGAAACCTTTCTAAACAAGAGAGGTGTAAATCTTCCACAGGAACTTGAAGTATTTCTCCTTGGAGAGAATATAGGGCATAAATATGGATCAGTGACACACTCTCTGAATACGTCTGCCCATCCGCTGGAATGTTTGATTTCAAAGTAATGATATATCGAAAAAATTAAGGCGATATACAATTCCACTTACATGCGTCATTGCTTATTACCTTGGCTAGGAGTGCCCACAAGCATAGTTCATGTGCACGGCATGCGCCAAGAGATGTATTACTTCAGTAGATATATCAGACTAAAATGAATGTCGTTATTAATACTCTCGTCAATTATATTTCAGTCCAATGTTGAAACGTACTCATCGCGCATATTCTGCGAGAGAATTTTTTATGTGGTATGCTGATTTTCAGCATCTCCGCACATAGCACCAACACAAAATATTATAGGTTTATTAGCCCGACGTATCTACCAGTATTTTTCTTGTATACGCAATAATAAACCATTACTGACTCCAAAGCGAACGGAAGTGTAACAAACAGCAACACAGTGGCTGTGCTTCCAAGTGATATAAAGTGCCATACGGATGTAAAATAACGGCACGCTTCCACCGAATGACGAATTCACCCAATCAGGTTTGTGCAAATCACACGCTGTAAACCTTCATAACAAGTTAAACAAACATCTAGCAGAATACGCGTAACGGGTGGATGTGACAAGTTAGGCAATAATATATTTTTATTTTTTGATATGACAGGTACAACAAGGATTCACCATGTAGAGTTGACTTCACAAAGTCCTCTTTCAATAATGCTCACGACGCAAAAAGCAGGTGCAACACATCACCTTTCGGGTAGCTTCATTAGGGGTAGGTGAGCATGACAAAGATACAAGAATGGTATCTGCATTTGTCATTTTATTATAATTCTTTCTAACGCTCGCCAATTTTAGTTTGGAGCCTCTTAGGATCTAGGCAGGGCCACTGCGCATTGTTCGTTAGTCGGCGGCGCTCACGCAAGGTGCCAACAATAGACCAAGGCGATGACGATGACCAATAAGTGCTTTACAGACCACAAACTCTTTTTGTATAGATCGGAAACGATCTTGAAAGAGGTTTCACTCCTGTAAGGTGAAGCGGCAATGCCAGCAACAACGTGCTGCTCCGAAGGCAGTGCACGACTTTGGGCTGTCAATGTATGCTTTAGAGGGCTAACAAGCCCGGAAGCGAGAGCTCAAGAAGCAGTGGTAAAGCAGCACGCGTAATACACTGCCCCCCACCCTATCCTTCAGGTCACGTGAAGCAGCAATAGCAAATTGTATATACTTTACTGGAGAAATGGTCAAAATACAGCCAACCACTACATATTTCATTCATAAAATAAGAGAAGGCATTTTATTCCTTGGAGACATCAGGAGTCATGAAAAAGCCGAGGAATCAGGGCGTCCATTAAAATATATAAGCATCCTGGAAGAAATATAGAGATAATCAGTTGTCACCATAGTGCTTCCTAATGAAATATTCAAATTTTCCATAAAAAAGGATGCAAGAAGGATGATGTACAGGGTCAAGCATTTTAAGGGCAGTAGGTGTCAGTAGACTGATAAGCTATTACCCCAAAGTCTAGGTGTGTATTTATGAGACTTGTATACAAATTGATCAGACACTTCTTGTCACTTCTTCACATAGTGCGTCACAACACATTTATAACATTCATGGCTTTTATGCACTTGTTTTCAGACACTTGTGTGGTATCAAGTTTAGCTTGGCGTCCAAGATTAGGCCTAAGCATTTGTGTTAAGTAGTAACAAAAAGACGTTGCCCGTGCAGTCGAATATCGCTTTTGGAATGAATGCTTCACTTCCAGGAGAACAAAAGACACTTCCTTTTCTGTGCATTCAGTTGTAACCCATTTTCCTTCTGCCCAAATGGAGACTTTCTTCAAAGCAAGCTGAACATGTCGCTCACAGATGGCCAGATTAAAAGACCAAAATTCAAGCTGGACGTCATCGACGTATGTGCAGTAAAACATATTGTGAGGAATGGAGACGTGCTAAGAATTCTATTTCAAAATAAAAAGTGTGCAGCTTAGTACACAACATTGCAGTACTCCTGTTTCCTGGCCAAATGCTTGCGAAAAAATAATGCCCACTCGGACACGAACTGCTCGCTTTGACAAGTAACATACGATTATGGTAAACTTTCTGCCTGGCACGCCCATGTGGACAGGTCTGTTTTTATACCAAAGCACCGTGTTGTATCATAAGCCTTTTCAATATCGAGGAACATAGATAGAAAAGATAGGAAATGTTGTTTGTGGACGAAAGCCTCTCTGATCGGTACTTTGATGTGAACAAGAAGGCCAGTGGTTGATCTACCCTCACTAAATCTGCAATAAAATGGGTCGAGCAAATTATTCGCTTTAAAGAAATCTACAAGGTGGTAGTTTATAATTTCATTGAAACATTTGCACAAGGAGCTTGTAAATCCAATAGGCCTATAACACAAAACTGAGGAAAGATTGTTGCCCTTTTTAAAAATGAGAATATCTATAGCCTTTTTCCAGGAAGTAGTGATAGCGCCAGAAAACAAAGTAACATTGTACAAGTAAAGTAGGGTGTTGTGCGGTAAGATTGGTAGGTTTTTTAACTTTTCGTACACCACACGATCAGAACCTTGGGCGGAATGACTTCAGGAATTTAGTGATCTTTGAAGCTCAGCTAAGCAGAAAGCTTGGTTGTATGCTGCGTGTTTTGTATATTTGTGTTCTAATATCTGCTTCTTAATTCTTTTTTTGTATCTCTTGGAAAGATTCACTATAGTGTGACGAGCTGGACACTTGTTCGAAGTGCACGCTGAGGCAGTTTGCTTGATCTTCGCAGCTGTCACTTTGTGTGTTTACGAGAAGAAGTGAATGTACTTGTGTTCCTGCTATTTTCCTAACCATGTTCGAGGCTTTTACCTTCTGTGTGTGTGAATGGATGCCTGATATAAACTAACGCCAACTTTACCTTCTGGCCAGTCGGTGCGTCGTGCTGCCTTGATACTTTATGTTTTTAAATGTTTTAAGTTTTTTTTCTGTCGGAGAGTCTCCAAGCAGCCTCCATGCTTTATTTTGCCTAATACGTTCATTCCGACAATCACTGTTCTTGCTTAGGGACGTGCCACCTGGTGGACTGTTCAGTTTGTTGAATTCGCTTTGTTGCAGCATCAATAAAAAGTGTTGTCAGAAAGTTACAGCTGCATGTATACTTAATTGGCATAAGGGCTACCAACCTAAGCGAGTGGCTTTTCTGAAATTTTCTCAGTCCACTACGTCTGTCTCACATCTTGGAACATGTGGAGGACATTTCTCTATTGGTGTACTTAGAATGATCGAAAAGTGGTCATTTCCCAAAAAAAAAGCTGGTGATCACTTTCAATTGAAGCAGGGGCTACAAGCGATGGGGACTTATTGCTAAGATCTATGCATGAGTAGGTATTTATGGCGAGGCTCAAGTATGTTGGCTCTTTCCTATTCAATACACACTCGCCCGAAGAAAAGGGGAACTGTTCGATTAGACGATCTTGTGCATCGCAGCGAGAGCCGTCCCCTAGACCGCTATGTACACTCAAGTCCCCAAGGGTCACTTAAGCTTCTAATGGATCATCTATCAGTGACAGGAATTCGCAGTGACAGGAATTATCAGTGACAAGAATTCACAGTGACAGGAACAGCCACTTCCTCAAGGTAAGTTTGTAGTGGTAGTTTTGTAAATGCTACAGCCTTGATCATCTATAATGACCACACCACGAGACGACTCTTCAGCGTCATTGCGGTCCTTTCTGAATATTACACATTGACGTAGAAAGTAGGTGTTCCTGAAATTTAGGTGCGTCTCTTGTACACACAACACTTTTAGGGAATGTTTTTGTAAGAGTTCCTAGATATTGTCGAGGTTTCTAAGCAGTTCTCTGGCGTTCCATTGCAATATTTGTGTATCCACTATGAGTGTAAATAAGTGCTGTGCGTACTAAAAAGTCTTGTGTTAAGTCAGGAGACATTGTCAGGCTCCGTGATGATGGTTTATGACTTTCTGGCGTGCTCCAAAGAGCTGCACTTGTCTTTCGGCACCGAAGATACCGGAGGACTCGCTTTTGTGCCTATCACCTCGGACGAGGTGCTCGATGTCCACTCGCGGCTCACGCGTGCGGGCATGGAAGTTTTATGGCTATATCTGTCGAGAGAAAATGCCCTTGAACATTCAGGTCTGGAAGCCTGCAAGCCTTTTGGTGGTGGAAGTACCTGTGCTACTTCCGCTGAGGGGTGATTGGTGCTGTCGCCAGTCCACTCTGTGTAGTACGTGCGGGTGCCCCAGATTTGGGTGGCACTGCTCCCTTTCGTGCCACCTCTGCAAATGAAGGATCCCACAAAGGCAGACACCTTCCTAAATGAGATGTTTTTATTTACTTTGAGCGTAAGTATTTCTTATTCGTGTTTTCACGTAGCACATGTGCGAGAGTAAGTGGTGTGTCCAACGTTGCAGTTTGCGCAGTAACAGTTCCTTCTTCATAGTTGTCCTTAGCGTGTTCACGCAAACTACTGTTTGCACAGGTTTTACGCCCAGGGCAGCTCTGAGAGCTGTGGCCGAAACGCTGGCACCTAAAACAACATAAGGGGTTGGTGATGTAGGGTCAGACTTTCAATTTCAAGTAGCCTATTTGGATGTATTCTGAAAGTGTGCTTGTGCAGAACGTAAGGACGCGGTGCTTTGTCGGTATTTTTGTTGTCACGGCTGATCTTAATTATCTGAACATGCGTTACGTGTTGTTCGTTCCAGCCCTAAAAGAGATCACACTCTGTCAGGACGATTAGGTCTTGATCAGACAGTACGCCTTGGGAGAGAGAGAGAGAAACGAGAAAAAAGGAAGGCAGGGAGGTTAACCAGATGCTAGTATCCGGTATGCTACCCTACACTGGGGTTGGGGAATAGGGGTTGAAAGAGAAAGGGAGAGTTAAAAAATAAATGAGAAAAAAACACCAACACACACGCACACACAAAATCAGTCCACTCAGAGGCGTTCCGACAGGCCAGTAGTTCGTAAGAAGCCCAGTAGCGCTTGCATGGCTTTCTTCTGTGACGATGTCGCCTCGGGAAATGATCAGGGAACGGTGCAGTGTAACAGATACAGGTGCGATTCCGAAGGAGGTGCGTTTTGAGAGATTTCTCTACTGAACCTTGTTTTGTACTTCGACAACAAGGTCGCCACTAGCCATTCGTGTTGCCTGATAACCGGTACCAAGGCTATTGGTGAGGCATTTAGATAGGACAAATGAAGAGAGTGCTCTTGCGTTCTTTTGCGTTTCACAGTGAATCGCAAGGAAGTGCGGGAAGATTTGTTTGGGTTTAGGAAAATATTCAGGACACCTTCAGGGCACCCCAGCTAGACTGAGGTTGATCAGACAGTTAGAGAAGTAGAAAAGAGGCCATAAATATATGTAAATTTGGCAGCCATGCCAGCCGCCCACCACGGAGCCCAACATGAGGACGCCGCAGCATAAATAAAAAGGCATGAAAGCGCGAGCTGTACAACGACACTATAACCCAATATTATGTGAATAAGAGAGGGCACATACAAAAGGGGAACGCTTGCTGCCTAGAAGATGCAAGTAAGCCAAAATGAGGAGATGACAGAAAAATTGAAAAAGAGAAAAGTCGAAGATGTAGGAAGACAGAGATGGGAAAAGTTGACTGCTGCTTTCCCCTGGGTGGATCAACCTATGGGCACCATCTACGCGAAGCCAGAGCAAAAGGGTTTGTTGTCTCTGCCGGGAGGTCTTAAAGGTCCAATCACTCCGTGTCGGCTGAAGCCCCTGGACCCCTTTTCTCCAGACACAGAAAAGCCACCCACGGCTAGGAGTCGCAGAGGTCTAAACCCCCGTTAGCTTGCGTTCATGGCGTTCATGGTGTATCCAAGGCGCTCTTGGACAGTTTGCGACATCTATACATAGGGACAGCGGACATTTTTGGTAATATAAGGCACACTCATTAAACGGAACCTCGGGAACTATATTTTCCATTTAACTGGAGCTCTATTACCTGAGCATTGAACAAGTTTGCAAAATAAAAATATTAATCCAGTTATATCACAGTCAATTCCGTTTGAGAAGCAGTTATGTTCAATAGATTTTCTTCAACCGAGAATGAGCTATTTATGAATACCACCTTGATAACAGGCAGTGCCGTGCTTGAAATGAACCGTATATAGCAATCTCGAAGCATCTGATGCCTACAGGCGCCATAGATCATTTGATCACATATAGTTTATGCATATGCACTGTGGATAGTGGAAGCTCCCGATGCTAGCTGCTGCGTTTTTTTTTGATAATGCATGCAGACTCTCTTTCTCTTCCTTCCAAGGTTGTGGCTGAGCAGAGGTTAATATTAAGACTGCTACGAGCCAAAATTAAGCAATGTAGAAAATTCTTCACCTTCAACAAGAGCTCCTTTCTGCAGGCACCAAGAACAGCTGTAGTACCCGTTGAACTGTTTTGAATTCAGCAAAAAAGCTTGTGCGGGCGAGTCGAATGGCAGAATGGACAACTTACTGCGCAAATGACCATGTTATCTTTCCCAGACCTTGAAACTTGTCAACAAAGGCCTTAAAGAAAAGGTGGGCAGGTGGACGTTCTTTGCTAAACCAAAGTCCTTCAATCAGAATGTTTTCCAATGAAGAGGCACAGGCAACTCATTCAGTTAGACGTGAATCAGCCACACTGAGCCTTTGATGGATTTCAAGACTGGCGAGCCATCGATGTTCAGAGTTAAATTCAAGTCGCTCCACCTCATCTTGAGCACTTGGTGCATCTTCTTGTACAGCGCACCATCGGTAATATCTTTTAATTGGTCCGAGGAGGTTGAGGCGAGCTTATGCAAGTTGTTGCCATCAATGTTTCCCGTTTTTTTCATTTATTGCATGCGTGCGCTCTGTATCAGTTTTTCTATATAAATATTTTATGGTGACTGCGCGCCAAGTTTTAACGCTGTAAACGTGTTCTATGCTGTGTACTTAGACCCTTCTAGTGATATTCTGCCAACGTCCGAGTTTCCAGCATTACACTTGGCCTATAATTTGGCGTTGCACTAGACGCTGCTAACTAGTGACGCGGGTTTTGCAATAGGAATTTGATAGGAAAAATTTAAAAGAATAGTAATTGGCTTGTTTTGTGTAGCCTTATTTTATGTGTAAACGAGCGAGAACCTACCAAAGAAGCTGCCAACAATTCAAGCCCTTCGGAAAGTATGTGTGCCAAAAACTTGGATAGATGCAAAGAAACGGACATAAATCGTAGTGCCTTGCTCGCGCAGTGAGATATTGTAAGTGTTCTTTATTGTACGCGTTAGGTAACATTTTCTTGTGTAAATGTCGCTGTTGTTGAAGTAGCAACTACCTCATAACAGCACCTCCAATTGCTGCATAGAATGGTTCATCACAGCTTTATTCATTTCTCCTGCCATGAGTGGGAGGGTAGACGAGAAGGCGGATTACACTGGTCTGCAAGCCCATTGCACTTTCAACAGGCATAGCACCAGCAGGTAGTTACCGGCAGATAAGCGCCTGTCAGCTGCTGCCTGCAGACCAGTGCCAGCAGGCCACCACCAGCAAGCTGGCACCAGTCCCAGTTAAAAAAACCCAGCAGAGTTTGTTTGTTGTGTTCTGGTGTTGTCTGGTGTATACGCCAGAACCTGGTGGTGTGTTCTGATGAATACTTTAGCCCTGATTTGCAAGGTTCTGGTGGCTAAGCCGACCCGTCGTGGTGTGTCCTGGTGTGACTGTATCCTGGTGGGACTTGTTATGGTAAAAAAGCCAGCACATCGTGGTGTGTTCTGGAGTGAATGTTTTTTGCTGGGTTGTGTACTGATGTGAAATTGACCCAGTCTGGTTATCCTGTGTGAGAATGCGGACCCAGTGGTGTGTTGTGGTAGGATGTGTTCTGATGGTAAACGACACTGGTGTGGTGTATTCTGTTGGGATGTGTTCTGGTAGTGCTTGCGGCTTACTTGGGCTAAGAGTTTTTTTCAACGATATGCACTCTGGCTTCACTCTCATAATTTACTCAGCCAGACTCACTCACCGAAAATACTGAGCCCAACGCACTCACACTCGTAACTCAGTCTGAGCGAACTGATTAGTGAGTTTACTATAACATAGCTCTTCCAACCATTGGTCAATGCTCTTTAGCCTCTTCGGCATTAGTGTTAGTATACACTCCACACACTAAAGCCAGGAAACATGTACAACATATCTTAAACGTTTGTCGCCCAGCATCTGCAAGACAACCCGTAAAAGAACTTATCAGGACATAGCACTGCAGTACTGTATTTGCAAACACTGCATCTGGGATCCAATTAACATTGCTGTTGTATTCATTTGCTGCATGTGTCCTTTGTCTACATGTAGCACGTAATACCTAAAGCAACCTACAATCCTGCAAGAACATCAAGTGTTACTATCGTCTTGTGACGCGATATATACATTGTATACTGTTACATATCTTACTACGATAGTAATATTGAAACCAAAATGTTTTAGGTAGTTGGTTTTAAAATATAATAAATGCACTCTGAACTATACACTGTTTTAGGGTGCTATAAAATATGCCTTCATTGTATGTCATGCAAATGATTTAAAGAGTGATGATATCCCCAATGTCGTAACAGGTGCACAAATCAAATTTTGAATTTCTCAGGCAGATGTGTATTGAGTAGTTTGTAGATCCGCATGTTGTCTTTGTAGGAGATGCATATAATATACAATCTAAATATAAACAAAATATATGTAAATGTACTTGTGTTTGTACTGTACCATCTATGACACGAAAGACAAGAGACAACTACACGGAGATAGAGATCTAGTACCTGCACATATTTCGCTGGAAAGCAGACAGTAGTTGATTAGGATTAAAAGGCGAAGGCAGAGCCACATTTTCGATTTATTTACCACATCAGCATAACACAATTTTCGTACTGTGTGAAAAACAAACATGGTGAAGGCATACATGAATGTCCAATAAAAAGAATGCAAATATTCAAAGTAACAGAGACGTCTGTTTGAAATTTTCGAGAACCTATACCAGTGCAACGTAAAAGTGCTCGACACATAGAAACATTCCATATAAAAAGCAGCCAAAACCAACCTAAGGTAACTCATTAAAAATTACGAGATATTTCGGATGGCCTCTGTCATAAAGCTGCAGAGCAGGGCAAAAAGAGCACAACAAGCCAGCTGAAAATACCAGACAAGACTTCTGAGAACCAAGACTAGAAAAATGAATTCACTGACAGGCACAAGACATAAACAGCCCAACACAATTTTCTATGGGGCACTAAGGAAGAATGTTTCAAATATTTGCAGTTAGGAGATATCAATTGCATTTCATGCACTTCTCAGGACGAATATGTACAGGAAAATATACGAAAAACGATGTATTCAAGCAGTAAATTGGGCTAGTTTGAACATACTTATCATAATCAGTGCACAAAAAGTGCACTACATTTTCAATTGCTCTCATAGACTGTCAAGATTTCTAGTCTGTAACATACTTGGTTATGTGCTTCGTGATGATACAAAGGTTTTTTATGCCTTCATGTTTGAAAATGGATGACATGTTTCATCCATTACCTTTCAGTTATTAGACAGCGTTTGTGTCGTGCACCATCTTGTGTTTTTCTGCGTTTTGTGCACTGATCATATTGAGTATAAATTCAAGGCTGAAAACGTATTCTCTAGCAAACAATAAATAAATACTTCGTGCTTGAGTTATACGAATAATAAAAAGCGACATATACGGCTGAATACTTAGGCATTGACAAGATACAAATATTAACAGGCTCAGCTAGACAAAAAAAGAACAGGTGCATTGTTTAACTTCGGGGAAAAAGCCTTGTAGAGTGTCAGATATGGTACAAATCTCCTTTACCCATGATAACACACACACACACACACACACACACACACCAGTGTCGCTCTATACGATGCTATTTTGTAGCTGAAACAATGTTATCATTCGCAGAATGGATCTTGTCCGTAAAAAACCACGAAATAAATGCTAGCAGGTGGACGTTCATTGCTGAAACGAACTGCTCCAATGAAAATGTTGCTTCAAAGAAGAAGCACAGGTAACTCGTTCAGAAAGACGTTAATCAGCCTTACTGAGCATTTGCGGAATTTCAAGACTGGCGATAATGTCACGTCATTCCGCAGCATATTGAGCACATGGCACATTTTGTACAGCTCACCATATGTTATATACTTGCATTTAGGCCAAAGAGAGCTTGTGGAAGTTGATGACAACAATGTTTCCTATTATTCTCAGAAGCTGCTGCAACTGTATCTTCAGTTCTGTCAATATAAAAACTTCCTTTCTACAGCAGTGCAGAAAGTTGAAACATTTTGGCGAATATGCTCGAGAGCTGTTCTTGAGGCCACGGGCTTAAGTGAGAAAATCGCACGTTGACAATAGGTGTGGACCTGAACCATTTTAGATTGCTGCATATCCCAGAGTTTTCGAAACACATACTATGTGTACACAAAAACCTCTTGGCCTAATATTGTATTAATCCACTTCAACAAACCATCTACTTGGGTCCATGGTAGTCCTGCTGCCACAACCAGCAGCATGGTTTTCAGTTTTGTTGCGGAAATGCTAAAAAGATACACGGATGAATTTGCCACGATAAACTCCAAGAAATCAACATCTGGATTGTAGAGTTCACAGTTTTCTGGGTCGGGCCTATCTCATGCAGTTTCTTCGGCACATTTTGAGATATCGCAAAACTGTCTGTCTAATTCTGTATTGTTGTCTTGTGCACTTGGCTCGTTATTCAGACCAATATATTCATTGCTTGAAATTTCGGGAAGCTCTTCACCTATTACCTTGTAAACATGGTTCATTTTGCATGACACTCATCTTATCGCTCAACGGAGGTTAGCCCATTTAAGAAAAGAAGTTAGAGTGCCCTATTTTTTCTTATTCAACACATCGACATGCAACCAGTTTGAACAGCCAAGCTGTTCTTAGCTGTGCCTTTCAGTTTCGGGCTCAGCACCATGCAGACCACAAGGCCTCGTAGTTTGGCCAAAGTGAAGCTTCGTATAAAAGGGAGGACTGTATTGTGATATCTTGAAAAAGTCACGGCAGACAAAGTCGAGTGGTAAAGCAGATTTGAACCTTCGAAAAACGCACCAAGATCAGGTGATGATGAGGAAAGTAGACTTTGAAATGGCAGGCCCGTGTCAGTGTTCTTGAGTTGGCCCTTTCAGATCGGGGAGCACCAATGAAGCAGTCATCCGACCTGAGCATCGGCTGGAATGGACAAGTTGCGGAGTCAACTGCGATGTTCATGCAGAGACGCTGAAGCTGTAAGCTTAACAAAAATTTTAAAAACATAAAATACCATAGCCCGAGGAAACGCCAATATCAGCTTAGCAGCTTTGACGGTTTTCGCTAAGAGGAGCTTGCTGGATTTTTCTTTCATTAAGGTAAACACATCAACTGTTGTCATCAAGAAGCAACAATGAGAACTAATATATGTGAAAGTCAAGTTGGAAAACTTCAACAATCCACACCTCGTTTTATACACCTGTTTGAAGACCGATGCTAGAAAATTTTTATATAGTTCAATACACAGGAACTTTTGAGACGAGAAGCAATTTAGAAATGGATCTCCGCAGTCTCTTTCTGTTGAGTATGGCAGAGACAAAAGACACGATAATTGAGCTGCCAGTACCAGACATCATTTGTCTATCTAGCAACCAAGCAAAGAAAAACTAATGTCCTGCCACACAGGAATGTAAAAAGCTGTGGGTAATTTATTGTTAGATCATTGCAAGGAATTACAACAATACCTTGTTTTATGCTTAGTTTATGAATAGTGTTATGGTGGAAGAGTATGTACAG